ATCAGACACTAAGAACAGGTGATGAACCATAGTATAGGATCAGACACTAAGAACAGGTGATGAACCATAGTATAGGATCAGACACTAAGAACAGGTGATGAACCATAGTATAGGATTAGACACGCAGAAGAATACATTTTTTTTTTACAGAGATCAAATAAAACAACATGTGATAGACACAAATTATACAAACTTGAACTGATCCAGAAGTGTGCTGATTGTATTCCCGCAGTATTTTAAAAATCTTTCGTCTTTGTCATCTCCGTTCAAGTGTAGATGTGCCTCTCCTATAGACTCAATGATATCTAGGGCCTCGTGGTAATTTTGCTGAAAAAAAAATAGTCCAATGTTGCAATGTGCAAATACAAACAAAAAGCATCATTATCCCCTACTCATTTAGGAGGCACGTTAGTCTAGTAGTAAGACGCCAGGCTGGTGACTGAAGTGTTGCGGGTTCGAGTCACGGCACAACACGGCATGGCACAGAACGGAATGGTGTTGTTTCTTTGAGCAAGATACTCTACTCAACTTGTTCCAGTCTACTCAGCTGTGAATGAGTACGTTGTTGGGCAGTGCTAGTATTGCAGAATGCTAGCTGTGAGCACCGAAACGGCAGCTCCGGCAGCTCCGACTGCATGTTCCCCAGGGAGTTGAGAAAGATATTGGCTGGTTGCAAAGGCCCTATAACCACGGATAATAGTTTGAGGACCGCTTTGAGACGACCTATGAACTAAGTTGTGATAAAGCGGTATATAAGAACTTTAAATTATTATTATTGCCGCAGTCAACATCATATGAAGTTAAGAATTTGAGCTTCTATATATTTACTGATATTACTATATAGCGCTTTAAACTCGCGGGATCAATATTTCGCGGTTTCGTATTCAGTACATATTCGCGGGGGTTAAATTTTGCTATGTATCTGAATCTCATATGTCATGCAAAGTATTTTGAGTGTCATCATTTAAGAGTTAAACCTCGAAATACAGGTAAACCATTTGAAAACACTGAACACAAAAATATGTTGTGGCCACATGTAAGTGTTGTTTTTACATGGACTGCCTGCCCCGTTGTGTGGTGATAATCTGATTGGAGCTCATTTAACCTTGCATAGCAGCATTGGGTATAAGTATTTTCAACATGTTGTGATAAGGCCCATCAAAGTGGTTGACGTTTTCAATAATTTCGCTGGTGTTTAGAATTCAGGGATATTAGACAAAGCGCGAATATATGTAAAGCGAAATTAAACCCCCCGCGAAATACAACCACTATGAAGTACATGAAATTTCTATGTCTGGCATATATTTACAGCAACAAAAATGTCTTACTTTCCAATTCCAAATCTTCTTAAATTTAAGCCGACTGATTGTATCATAGCACCAGTACACTCCTTCCCTGTGCATCGTTCTCATCAGTACTTTTATGAGTGGAAACCATACCTGTTCTGTTCCCTTCCTGCAAAATTATATCAACAGAGTATTTATAACTTATTTACTTGAGGTTTACATGAAAGTAATATTACAGTTAAATTCAGTTGATGATATGTGAAAATATTGTTAATATGTGTATGCAATACTAGACTACTTTACCTTGCACTGGACTTGTCACTCAAGACAGTGACATAATCGTATGCCCACGACATATGTTCAGGTTTCTTCTGCAAGACTTCTTGGAACATTGCAAGCATTTTCTTCATGATCTGAGGGTTTTCCTGAAAAATGTAACAATACATGGTAATGGTTTCCTAGACAATACAAGGTAATGGTTTCCTAGACAATACAAGTTAATGGTTTCCTAGACAATACAAGGTCATAGTTTCTTAGACAATACATGGTAATGGTTCCCTAGACAATACAAGGTCATGGTTTCCTGGACAATACAAGGTAATAGTTTCCTAGACAATACATGATAATGATTTCCTAGACAATTCAAGGTAATGGTTTCCTAGACAATACATGGTAATGGTTCCTAGACAATACAAGGTAATGGTTTCCTAGACAATACAAGTTAATGATTTCCTAGACAATACAAGGTAACGGTTCCTAGACAATACAAGGTAATGGTTTCTTAGACAATACAAGTTAATGATTTCCTAGACAATACAAGGTAATGGTTTCTAAGACAATACAAGGTCATAGTTTCTTAGACAATACATGGTAATGGTTTCCTAGACAATTCAAGGTAATGGTTTCCTAGACAATACATGGTAATGGTTCCTAGACAATACAAGGTAATGGTTTCTTAGACAACACAAGTTAATGATTTCCTAGACAATACAAGGTAATGGTTTCTAAGACAATACAAGGTCATAGTTTCTTAGACAATACATGGTAATGGTTTCTGAACAAAAACATATCAAAGTATATTGTTTTTGTGTTCTGCTACATATTCCTGATTTAAAATCAACTTACATCATAGGTCTTCTCTGTTGTTTCTTTCAAAAGATGTAAAATCCTTGATAACACTTTATGCATGTGACCATGATCAGTAAGAAAGTATCCCTTCATAAGGTCTATGATGTCATCCAATAAATCAACTGTCCACCTTTTATTTCTACCAAAAAAACAACAAACAACAAACAAACAAAAAATTATTCAAATTTCATTAATCAAATAAAAACAAAAAACTGACATTACATTTCAAAATCATATCTTTCATAAATTTTACATTAAGCCTTCATAATAAATTGGAAATTGTTTATGGTATAATACTATTCAACACATGAGCTTAGAGTATTTACAATATATGCATGGGCACACACCCTAGACGTGTAAGGAAAGATATGACGTTTTATTGTACATCATTTGTATAACTCCCTTTCTAATTTCAAGAGAATACATTGTAGGGCACTGACTATTTAAGGAATGACAGACACTTATGTGAACAGAATAAGTTGCGGGTGTGAATACCTTGATTCCATTGCTAACCATGTGTATGGGTGTGTCCTGGATGTTGTATACTTTACTGGTGTATGGTCTTTGTGATATTAGATGTATTATTATTTGTATTATTAGATTATAGCTTATTGAAACCCAATTCAAATTGAAAACTATAGCAAGGGAACAGTAATACTAACCCCAGATCATGTTAATATATAGTCGAGTTTAAACATGATTTTATCATAGATATATACTTGTTACATACCCACACTTGTTACATACTTACACACTTGTTACATACTTACATGTACACACACTTCCTACATACTTACATAAACTTCCTACATACTTACATACACTTGTTACATACTTACATACACTTGTTACATAGTTACATACACTTGTTACATACTTACACACACTTGTCACATACTTACACACACTTGTTACATAATTACATACACTTGTTACATACTTACACACACTTTTTGCATACTTACACACACTTGTTACATACTTACACAAACTTGTTACATACTAACACACACTTGTAACATACTAACACACACTTGTTACATACTTACATACACTTGTTACATAGTTACATACACTTGTTACATACTTACACACACTTTTTGCATACTTACACACACTTGTTACATACTAGCACACACTTGTAACATACTAACACACACTTGTTACATACTTTCATACACTTGTTACATACTAACACACACACTTGTTACATACATACACACACTTGTTACATAATTACATACACTTGTTTTATACTTACACACACTTGTTACATACTAGCACACACTTGTAACATACTAACACACACTTCTTACATACTTACATACACTTGTTACATAGTTACATACACTTGTTACATACTTACACACACTTTTTGCATACTTACACACACTTGTTACATACTTACACAAACTTGTTACATACTTACACACACTTGTCACATACTTACACACACTTGTTACATAATTACATACACTTGTTTTATACTTACACACACTTGTTACATACTAACGCACACTTGTAACATACTAACACACACTTCTTACATACTTACATACACTTGTTACATAGTTACATACACTTGTTACATACTTACACACACTTGTTACATACTAACACACACTTGTTACATACTTACATACACTTGTTACATACTTACATACATTTGTTACATACTTACATGCTTGTTACATAATTACATACACTTGTTATATACTTACACACACTTGTTCCATACTAACACACACACTTGTTACATACTTACATAATACAGTCAACCATTTTATTGACAATGTCCCTAGATATATCAATATGTTTTTCTCGAAATGTGTTGCTGCTAATTGTGGCTCCTACAGTTTGCCAATGTCTCTGGAGAATGTCTGGCTTTTGAAGAACCTAATTCAGAGGAAACAAACATCATTTACATGCAACGTTTTAATTGACTGATCATTATATTTTCATTATGATCTGTGCTTACTGGTTCCATTATCAAAACAATTAAAGCAATGTGATCAATTAAATTTCCATCACTTGCATTCAACTTGCAATAACTCACATGAGGTTCACCTAATATTTCATTTTCAATTTAAAAACCTGCTGTGTACCATACCAGTTTATCAAAGGAGTACAAGAAGTACAGGTTGCAAGAAGAACTACATGTAAATCTGTTTGGATGGGTAAGACACCAAGAACATGAGTTCACATGTTATGTCAAAAGGAGGTAGTCTCCAGGGGTTGTTCTTGACCTCCGGGTCAATCTTGGTGGCATGTTTTCTTTTCTTCATGCCAATTAATTGTATATTTGTTCATAGATCAATATGAAAGGTGAAGGATTTTATTGATTTATCTCTATTTCTCCTATTAGGTCAAACGCCTCTGCCCCTGGAGACCAAATTTAGTTAAAATCCCTCTAATCACTTGGGAGGAGAAGGATTTAAAATGTAAAGCTATATTTCCCCTATTGGGCCCAGCTAGCCACTCTGCCCCTCAACCTCCTCCCCTTCCCCACAAACAAATTTACAGAATGTAGTCCCTTTGCCTATAGATGATCTTTAACAATTTTTTAAAATTGTTTTTCCCCCCTACCTTCTGGCCCCTAGGGCGGTGGGCGAG